CTCGAGATCAGCTCAGGTGGCACTTAAGGCAAGACGAGAAAGCTCAGAAAGCACACACGCAGCAGTAACAGAAAATCATTCATCATCTGAAATAAGCAGGCAAATCTGTGAACAGGGTTATAGGTCAGTCTGAAATCATGGAAAAGAAAAAAAACAGATGAAGGCTCGGGAAAGTGCAGTATTTCCTTGAAGAATAATGTGCTAACTAAGCAAGAAACTGCAAGTCAGTAAAGGCCATCTGACACTTAGGGGGAGCAAGCCCTTGGTCTCTTGCCATAAGTGCCGTCGTGTGGGGCAGAGCCCAGGAACGTGTCAGACCGCAGCGTGGGCATCCGGGGAGCTGCTGGGACGGCCGCTGGTGTCAGAAACGTCGTCAGCTTGCGTGTGCTTGCTGGCTACAGTGAGCTGAGGGCTGGAGATATAAATATTGAGCTAAAAGTGGTACAAGAAAACACTGTGCTGGGTATGAATCTTTCAGTGCCTACATTAAAAATCCAAAGTAGGTAATTACCCTCCCTGCTTTTATCTCCTTTCAGTGTTGAAAAGTCTCTCCATGGAGACTTCTTTTCAGTAAGGAATAGGTTTGGGGTTTGGTTTTGAGGTTGGTTTTTTCCTTGGGTTTTTTGGGGGGTTGTTTTTCTTAATAAGAAAAGGATGAATTCCAGACAGGAATTTTTTTTTCATTACTACTTAAGCTTCTCAAGGGATATGACAAAGAAAGAAAAGTGGATCAAACAATGGAAAGTATATGACATTTTCCTTTCTTATAAAATAAGAGAAACGAGACATCTGAGTTTCAAAGGGAAAATTGCTTACGTCTTGAAGGGTCATAGTTTTGCTGAAAGTAAGTAAGAGGGTGTTTGTGTGCATATGAAGCCTCAAATGCAGAGAATAGCTAAGGTACTGGTTACTGTTTATCCTGCTTTTGGCAGTCCCCGAGGATGGGAGGTAGTTGTCTGTATTTGTTCAATCTTCTTTTCACCTCGTGTACCCCAGATTAAGAGTCATCTGTAAAAGGTGGGCAAAGGAAGGGCAGTGTGGGGGGAACAACACCAACAGCCCAAAACTTTGATTCAGAAGGCCTGGAATCACTGATGATGTCCCAGGATGCAGTATGAGTTGGGTAGAGATCTTGGTATTCCTTAAAAATGAAGAAAAAAAGGTATTTATTGTGTTTGGAAAAAGATGTCTGAACTGGTTTTGGCCAGGTAATGGTGACTTCCCAGCAGAGCTGGACCCGGTAGGAACAAGTTAATTCAGAAAAGTGCTTCAAGAGAGGAAGAGCATTTTTGGGAAGAAACGGAACTGACCAATTGGGATAATGTCAGCAGTGCTTCTCCTTTGTGCAGGAACCAACCGCCACTGCAGCTGCCTGCCTGGCGAACGTTTGCAAAACACTGTTCCACGACTGGGGGAGGCTTGCCAGTAGTTGAAGCTGAATGCTGTAAAAGAAAGGGGTTTATTTCAGGCTGTGCGAAGGGGAGGGAGGAACTACTTAGCGTTGTGTAAAAATTATTTGTTTCATATTTCTAACTTTGCGGCACAATGACTTGCAGATTTGGAGTGTGAAACTCTGATTTCAGAATGAGCTGGGGACTTTGCTGCTGCAGGCTGAGAATTAGTGTTTTGATAAACCTGGCTACCTAATTCGTGGATGAATGTTTGCTACTTTCTTCAGAGAAATTCTGGCTGCCTCTATAGGTTTAGGGCTATAGACAGTTTATAGCTTTGTTTGGTGTTTTTCATTGTCAGATTCTTGTTGTCATCTTTTTGACAAAGATGAGGGTTGCACCTTTAGCTCACGTAGCATTGGTTTGCTTTGTTCTTAAAGTAGATTTTGAAGTAATGGAAAGAACCCGAACCATTGGAAACAAGAGCAGTTCTACTTACCAGCCCCAGCCCCACCGAACAAAGTTTAGTGTGCATCTCAGCAAGAGAAAACTTTCTTTGCTGTCATCTATTTCTTATTTCTGTGTTCACCTGAAAGTACCACTTTTGGAAAAGCAGTAGTTTACATACCCATTTAGTTCCATTGCTTCTCTTTCCTTGGTTGTCCATGGCAGCAGAGTGCCGTCACTGACAGTGGAGTTTGTCGTGGCAGCATCTCTCCACAGATAACTGAGTTGAAACTGCAGCATGTTCCACACAGCTACAGTGGCATTACCAGCATCAGCTGCCAGGCTCTGTGCTCAAATTCAGCCTTTGACCCAAAAAAATTGTGGGTCCCTGCAGCAGATTTCTGTCCCCAGCCCCTGCCTGGACTCTGTAGACCTGTTTTATGTGTCTGAGAATCTGAAATAGGGTCACTCTGGGAATACTTGAACCAGTAGCTATGGAATAGTAGAAGTCAGGTTAGGAAGTTAAGGGCACTACATCTGATTAGTGTAAAGTAAAACATATATTCCAGTCGTTTGTGAGATAATTTTGAGAATGGAATTTAAAATGGTATCATTATTATTTTGATTGTTAGCATTAGCACTGCGGGTTTATGGACTACTCTGTGCTACAGAATGGAGATTGATGCACACTAAACTGTAATCCACCCATCCATCATAAAGCTTCTGCTAGAGACCCATTTAATTTCAAAACAGAAGAATTCATTATCCATCTCCAGAGAAATTAATTTTTCGTAAGTGTTATTGTGTGCAATGAGCTATCTGAGAGCATCCCACGGCAAGCGAGCGCGGAAGCAGCTGTCTCTAGCATGCAGCTACGGCACTAATGAATAAAAATTTTCCATGGGCAGTACAGAAGTACAAGTAATTATCTTTCTGCCACAAGAGAGGGCTTGCAGTGACAGGACAAGTGGTAACGGGTTTAAACTGAAAGTGGAGAGGTTTAGATTAGGTATCAGGGAAAAATTCTTCCCAGACTGGGTGGTGAGGAACTGGAACAGGTTGCCCCGAGAAGCTGTGGATGCACCA